TGTTGACGTAAATGAATGTACATTTTGCGTAAATGAACAGCAAAAGGTGTAGTAGGTCTTGTAAATCATGCGTTACGCGCTTGTAAAATAGCAAAGTACGCACGGGGGCACGTTGTGATGTCCGGTCCCGCGCCACGTCGATAATTTGGGTTCAATCAAGCATCACCCTGTAAATATTTTGAGGCCATCATGCGTCACACAAAAACCCTTTGCCACCCTTCATTATAGTTCTCCCCTATTTAATGGTTAGGCCTCTGTCATTAGAAAGCATAACTAGCAGTTTCTAAAAGAAAGTAAAATGCTGCGAGGTTAACTCAACGAACTTTCGCCGCAAAATTCCATAAACCTCACCGTTACAACTTCAATATTCACTTTGTCAATGCTAAGCGTGACTGGTTCACTACCGCTGAGCAATATACTGTAGACGGGTTCACAGTTGTTACGAAATAGTTCGTAGGCCGAAATCAAGACGTACAAAACATGCGAAGATTCAAGAGAAAACTCAAGCTGATCATTTTAATCTGTGTATTTTTTTTTATTTACATCAATTTCTTCTTGGATCCAGTGTATTTGCAATCGATCCATCGATACGCCTTCGGACATGAAATTTTACGAGGAGATGTTGTGAACAAGCAAGGGGAACGCTCGAGGAGCAGACTTTGCAAAGAGAAACTATCATTCCCTGGCGAAATGTGTCCAAAACCTTTTACAGAGATTTCCTCCTGTGATCTAAATAAGGATAGATTTTCCTGTCCTGACATCCGACGTAAAGGAAACACTACGCTGCGACAGGCCCAACTTGTAGTCACAAGGATGTTGCGAGTATTCGATCTCATTTCGCGCAAGCACAACATACCATACTGGCTGCGATCCGGATCCCTCATAGGAGCCATAAGGCACAACGGGTTTATTCCATGGGATGATGATATTGATATTGAGATACCACTCATGTATTACATCGACTTCTTTGAAAAATTCTCCAGAGAACTGCCAGATGATATGTTCTTCCAAACATCCGAGACAGACTCAAAGTATCATCGGCCGAAGAGTATTTTTAACATTAGGTCGGTCAGTGATACACGGGTGGGAGTTTACCGTGGCAATTGGCGACCCAAAGTTAGAGATCGATCCAGCTGCTACAAATATTGCCTTAAGAAAGGATGCGATTGGCACGACGGTTTGCAGCTCGATATCTTCGTAACCGATTCAATTCCGTGGGGTATATTTCCCTTAAGGGAAATGACCTTTGAGGGATTCAACATTCTTGTTCCAAACAGATGGAAAAGTGTGATCGCTGACGAGTACCCACAGTTTATGGACTTACCTAGAAAAGGATTCAGACTCCCGAAAAATATAGATATTGATCCCCTACACAGCTGCGAGGAGTTGTCAAAGAAGACAGAAGTGTAACATTCCCAAGACCTCCTGGGTGATACTTAACTCATACCTGGTGACTTACGTGTAATAAAAGTGGTAATCTTGGAATAAAGGTACGGTTACGGAGAGGTTGTTGGATTTTTTTCCCAATTTTTATTACTAGTATCCCAAGCTCAGGTATCATGTCATAGAGGAGGGAAATTATTGTGATTTGTATAAACATCCCATACAGCTGCGAGGAGTTGTCAAAGAAGACGAAAGTGTAACATTTCCCGTTTGAAAGTTGATATGTTCGTATGAATGGCCAATTTAATTAGCGAGCTAGTTTTTGAACAAGGAGTTTTGTCGAGGAAAAACTTGACGAGTAGTGAAACTATCTGGTGAGTGGGTTAACAAAAGAAGATTGACAAGAAATTGCAAGCGCTCAACGGTCTCGTTTTTGTTCGCTGTACTATTGTGGACTCGGGTGTAACGCTGGCTACAACGCATGATTATTGAAACCTTATTTATACGTTCACACGAGCAATTAACACTTGTGAAAGCAAACCTGACGAAAATAATTTGTTGTTCATTCAGGTAAGACTTACCAACTTGTAACCGGCTTAATTTAAATACTTGTCGTGCATAATTACTTTGTGCATTCATTCATTACAAAAAAACTGTCAAGTCACGCTGTGGAAAACAATGATGACACACACAATGACCACGAGAAAGGGTTTCGAAGTTTTAAAATTTCTAGTACGAAGATATTTTCAGTCGCATTGCTACCACCAAGAATGCAACATAATAGTCCTTTTTACAGTTGCGTGCTGGGTTGCAAAGCCTTTGAAGAGGAGTAAGATTAAGATTGACTTTGTTATGATGCAAACCTTTCTGCTTTTCAAATGTAAATTACTTTATTGTCATGCTTTATTGTCGTGCTTTTCACTTGAATTTTGCAATCGCGACTTTCGATTCCCCCCAACTCTAAAAAAATTTCGTTCTAGTTTTTTATATTTTTAGAGTCATTAAAAAGTTTGTATCCACAGCCTTTAGATAAGAAATTTAAAATTTCCATCAGTTGTAGTTCTCTTAGTGTTTATTATATATATTCATTCCCCTCATTTCACGTGAAAAAGGCATGTAGGAAAACACTGAGCTTCAAGAACAGCCAAGTTAAGGCTAATGTGTTTACCATGCTTAAATATTTATAATCAGGGACACTCGTTTAGGAGAGCTTTTTCAATACGGAGGCCAATGACCATAGAGGATTGGCCGGACTTACGAATAGGAACAGGTACAGTTGCGAAAAATTTGAAAATTTTTTGGGGCAAGGTGGGAGAATTCATTCGGGAACCACGATTTGGTTTTCTTTTTTCGTCACGCACGTCACGCAGCAAGTTACAAAACGTAAATATAATTCTTCTTGGTGCCTTTCTGGATGCCACCGATGCCTTTTCCGCTGCCTCCATTGTTTATTACAGCAGTAAAAGATATATGTGCCATAAAAACTTTTGAAAAATTGCTTAGCATTTTATTTAGCGAAGTATACTGTTGATATTTCGGCATTACGACACTATTGTTTTCCGCAACTATAACTGATATGTCTCTATATGAAGTATTGAATGTGTTTCCCCGCTGATCACTCGTATTTTGATCTTTTCTTCTTCCCCAATTCGTCGCCCGTGATGTAGTGACTCCCGAATATTCCATGTGAGAATATTTACGACCGCTCTTAGGAATAAAAAATACTGTCAAATTCTCAAGAAAAATACCTCACCTTACTTCCACAGTGATTGAATGCTTACTATGTTAAAAAGAACCTATTTTAGCGAGTTATCCATTTCTAGATAAAGGGGTAAGTTTCTAAAGAAACTGTGGTGCTGCGTCGGTGGGAGAGTATAGCAGGTAATTTAGTGTTAACAACTGGGTTGAAAACGTAAATTAGCCACCGTAAAGGGTAAAAAAGCTGACGTTTCGAGCGTTAGCCCTTCGTCAGAGCGATTAGAGGAATTGTGGGTTGTGTGTGGATTTTTATGTAGAAAGTGGAGCTACGCCATCGGTGGGAATATGGTGACGAGAAAACAGGAATAAATTAATTGAATGAAAAGCGCTCGTTGATTCCGTGGGGATTAAGGGTGCCGATTTGGAATATAAATTTTTGTTCTAGTGTTTTACGGCTTTCCGAACTGCCTAGATGTAAGGAAAGGCCGCAAACTGCCATATGCTGTTTAGAATGATAAGGAAGATTAAAGTGTCTAGCGACTGGTTTGGATGCGTCCTTGTCATTTCTTTCCACATCGCGAAGGTGTTCTCGGAATCGGTCACCCAGTCGTCTTCCTGTTTCGCCGATGTATAACTTATTGCAAAAAGTGCAAGTTTTGCAGTAAATAACATTAGCGGAGGTACACGCAAAGTGATCAATGATCTTAATGGATCTTTTAGGTCCCGATATTTTCTCTACGTTATGAATGAAAGGACAAGTTTTGCAACGTGAGCGAACGCATTTAAAAGTTCCAGATTGGTCATTGGTTTGAAATAAACTCCTGACTAAAAAGTTGCCGATGTTTTTGTCACGTTTGAATGAAATAAGTGGGGGTTGCGAAAAGATAGTGCCAGTCTCTGAATCGTTTTGGAGTAATTTAAAATTTTAAAGAATGATAGATTTAACTGCGTGGTTGTGAGGGTGAAATGTAAGAGTAAATGGAATGCGGTCAGTGTTGTCCTTCTCGGCCGTTTGTTTTCTCGGCCTTCTCTACCTGTCGATCGATTTGTTGGGCACGGTGGTAGCCCGCTTGAACGACAGAAACAGGATAGCCACGTTTATCGAAAAACTGGCACATTGCCTCTGATTTTTCGGAAAAATCAGAGTCGTCACTACATAAACGACGAAGTCTGAGAAACTGTGAAAAAGGTATGGAGTTCTTGACGTGTGATGGATGTGAGGATGAATACAACAAGTAACTATGTGAATCTGTAGGTTTGTAGTAAACACTAGTACATAAGCCGTTGCCTTCAATTGAAATTTTGATGTCTAGAAAAGCCAAAGAAGTGTCGGAAATTTCCCAGGTATATTTAAGAGCCGGATGAAAGGAATTGACGGCGGTTATAAATTGAGTGAGCTCCTCTTTGGTAGAGGAGGTAGCGCCGATGCAATCGTCAATGTAGCGGCCATAGAGTTCAGGTTTTGGGCCGTGGTGTTGGTTAAAAAATTGATGTTCGATAAAACCTACAAAAAGATTGGCGTAACTGGGTCCCATT